ATTTGCTTTTAAATTAAGAAATTGGGTAATATATAAGACTAAAATTTGAATTATAATCTACAGTTTGAATGCAAACTTATTGAAATAATTTCATGAAATAGTAGTTCAATAAAATTTTAAATGCGAGTCAACAAACGCGATGAAATGGCCTTTCACTTGTGACCCGTGTGAAAAATATATCGGCCTAAAAAGTTCCAAATAATTAACCTGTTATTTTAATAAAAGAACACAATATCGCGTACAGCAATTAGTGAAAAACCACAGTAAAAGGAACAAACTGTCAGAAGTCTGATATTAGAGAAATTAATTTCGACACATTCAGTCTCACGTTGAATGTGATATCAGACATCTGACAGTTTATTCAGTTTACTGTGGTTTTTCACTAACCTAAGGTCTTCCATAAAATTCGAAGGTAGTTTACACATACGACATTGGGAAAAGATAGTTGTTTTTCGCGTTAAAGTGAATCATTTGGAGTGTTTAGTGAAGTACCTATGCTAGCTGTCTCATATATACAGTTTCTTTGTACAAGTTCATTTGTTTACATTAGTGCAATACTGTTAAGCGTATTTGTAATACTGGCCTATAACTTGCCACAGTACTTTAACTTGTAGAAACGTTAAAGAAAGAAATACATTTAATTATTATTGCTACATCGACTGAACCTTGAATTTTTTACATCAGGTAGTTCAAAAGATCCCCCCAACGACAAAACAATGATACGACAATATTTTCATAGTAGCAAGCAGCTGTAGAAAGTTTTTAAAATGACATGGTCTACAGTCGATACTAAGTAAACTCTATGAAATCTCTAGTGTTGCAGTAGAATACAAAATAATTGGTTAGTTACGTACCTAGAATATGAACTTTGAATTTCGGTTTTTATTTGGGAAATGGAATTCGGCAATTAATAAATTTCCCACATATGATCATTGTGAGCTAGTGGTAAGGTAGTTACTAGTTTCTAAAAAAAAATTATATATATAATGCAACATTAAATCGGTTGTATCAGAACTAATACAATGACGTTTGAACTTAAAATGTTAATTACACGATCACCCTTTTTCTAGTGACTCGGCGGTTAGTCTGAAAGTTTATAAAGCTAAAAACTGGGTATCGATACTTGTTGTGGGCATAGCACAGATAGCCTGTTATGTAGCTTTGTGCTTAGCAACAATCAAACAAGTTAGTTGTACAACGCATTGACGTCCATTAATATCACCTGCTCTTATGGACAAACCAAGCTTGAGAAATACCAATCGTTATATACCGAGTACAGTCAGTACAGTATAGGGTTTGTAAATATTTCATTGGTTAAGGTACTTTTTGTTTCTGTTCTTACGCTGAATATTTAAGGTTGCTAAGATTCCCAGTTAGTTTTAGCATTTAATGTATTGCCAGAACAGCCGATATGTAAATAACATACAGCATTGCAATTACTAAACTTGTGTATATTCTTTTGATGTGCCCCCCTGTGGCACAGCGGCATGTCTGCGGACTTACAGTACTAGAAAGTGGATTTCGATACCCGTGGTGGGCAGAGCACAGATAGCCCATTGTGCAGCTTTGTGCTTAATTACACAACAAACAAACCTTATTGATGTAAGACCACAAAATTATTTCTTTGTTTAAAAGTTATTTCTTACCTCTTCCGTTAGAGGGCCTCTTTTTATATTGTCAGTAGACGATAGTAGCGTATTGTTAAAAATGGCGTCCATAAACCGAAAGAAAGATGGAAGTCCAAATATAAAATTTTACGAGTCACAAGAAACAATAGTACAGTTTGATGTCGTGCGTCAGTGGCTCCAAAAGAACTGCAAAAAGGTTTGGCGAATGAGTAGTTCCTAATTAAATGATTTAATAGGACTTAGGCCACTACTCGCATACTGGCAATGCCGGCCGAATTACGTTACAAAGCCGTTCTCTGGTCGAGTTGCTTAGAAAAATGACGCTCTCACGGGCGTTATTCTGAAACATCTAGAATTAGCTGTGTTAGGCCTAATATTTGATCATGATACACATAGGTTACTTTATTTGCATTTCAAGATGATAGTTTACCAGCATATTTATTGACAATTTATTATTTCAAAACTTGAAAAAAGAATCTGCCAGATTAGTAGAACGAATTTTGTTAAAATATGATGTTGAGTAAGAAAAAATTGAGATATTATTACTATTATGGCTATTTTTAAAGTGAAACCTGAATTTAATAAAATTAAATGTTGAGAGCTTCAGCGTGGAATTCTATGATGTCTGAGCTGTATGTGAATTTTAACTTTTGGTACTTTTAATGTCAAAGTTTGGTGGTGATATTATTAAAACACAAACGTTCTGATCATTTTATGACAGGTTTGGCCAAAAATTTTAGAAGTAGCAATTTTAGGTTTCGAATTTTGAGTAAGATGCCACTGACCCTTGAAACACTCCAATTTAGAGTTGATAGAAATGGAGAGGGGGGTTCAACTTGCTAATTAAATGTAATAAGTAATCATATGTTACGTATTTCAATATCAATTTTTAATCATGTGGAACTGTTCCAAATTAAATTTGTACTGTGTGCCACAATGTGTTTTAGCCTTGCTATGCAACTGCCACAAGCTGACTATCTCTTGTCTATTGTGGTAAAATAAAAGTACTTGAAATTTAAGTGTTATATCTATCCTTCTTCATTAGAACATTTGAAAGTAAGGTAATACTATCCTGTGGTTTTGTGAACTGTTAACTTATTGTGGTCAGTGATTTTTGAATGTTGGTGTGGTTAGTTTAGAAAAAAACAATAACTATTAAACATACATTTCTGAAATTATTTTGTTATTGTAATTCATTATAAAAAATAATTGTTTTTTATTATTTTATGCCACTGATTAAAAGTAACACTAATGCTTTTTAATAAAGTTTGGAGATGGCTTGAATGCGTAATGAAAGAATCTTTATTACAAGCAGCAAATCATTCTAGAATGAAAAAAGCGTAATTTAAATTTATTTCCTAATTTTTTTATGGTGGTTACAAGGTTGGTCAAATTGACAGACACCATAGAGTTAAGGTAGAGAAAATAACAGAAAAAATATAGTTTTATTGAAAATAAACATTTGAAATGTATTTAGGAGGTTTTAGAAATAACACAATGAATATTTGAGATTTTTGGTGTGAACGGTAGTTTTTTTAGTTATAACAGGAGCATCACTTCACATGTGGACTGATAATGAAATAGACTCGATATTTTCACAACAAATCTATAATAAAAATACTTCATTAAAACATCAGATTTTTTGTATACGAAAGATTTGTGATATATACTAAAAGTCTACCAAAGTTCATGAAGATACACTTACTACATTAAAAGCTATAGTATAAATACATAACTCATGTATGTTATACCGAGTTCATCACAAAAAGGTTAACCAGGATGCCTCAGATTCTTTCATGACTATATATGAATATAGCTGGAAAATTAGTGGAAGTTGCTAACTGATTAATCGTCTGGCTTATTAATTGATTATTTTCACAATGAGATGGCTTTGAAAAGTAACTTTTATAACTCTTAAAAATTATGTTTTGATACCTGCAGTGGGCATAGCCCAGATGGTCAATCTTGTAGCTTTGTGCTTTAAAAAAAAGAACAAACATAATGGCTGATTACTTGAATAGTTGGAATAATCAAAAATAGTAAGGATAGAGATAGATGATTATTTTCTTGAGTTATGACGCTAGTTGATTATTGAATTAATTGAAAATAATAAGGAAAAATCATAATAGCAATATTTCTGTTACTGAATAGTTGGAGTAATTGAAATCAGTAATAATGAGAAACACTTAATTGTTTATGTGACATTATTTGATGGAATCATGTTTTTGTTTAATTGATTATTTTACTTTAATCAAAGAAATTAGTGCTTACAAGTAATCCTTTAATTGAGGTAATCACCCAGCCCAAATAAAATAACTATCTGCCAATGACTCAGTCTCATTCAAAATTATCACTTTCAACATTATTGCAAGGTTAAGAACATCCTAACAATTATTACAACCAACAGTGAAAAAAACAAACAAAACATGCATAACTTAGAAATATCATAGTAAGGTTTGGATTTAGAAATATCATAGTAAGGTTTGGATTTAGAAATATCATAGTAAGGATTGGATTTAGAAATATTATTGTAAGGTTTGGATTTAGAAATATCATAGTAAGGATTGGATTTAGAAATATCATTGTAAGGTTTGGATTTAGAAATATCATAGTAAGGTTTAGATTTAGAAATATAGTAAGGATTGGATTTAGAAATATCATAGTAAGGATTGGATTTAGAAATATCATAGTAAGGTTTGTATTTAGAAATATCATAGTAAGGTTTGGATTTAGAAATATCAGTAAGGATTGGATTTAGAAATATCATAGTAAGGTTTGGATTTAGAAATATCAGTAAGGATTGGATTTAGAAATATCATAGTAAGGTTTGGATTTAGAAATATCAGTAAGGATTGGATTTAGAAATATCATAGTAAGGATTGGATTTAGAAATATCATAGTAAGGTTTGGATTTAGAAATATCATAGTAAGGTTTGGATTTAGAAATATCATAGTAAGGTTTGGATTTAGAAATATCATAGTAAGGATTGGATTTACAAATATTATGCTGGTATGGGATTTTGCATTGCTATTTTTGTACATAAATTGTTACAATGAAAATAACATTTTAGTGACAGTTTTAATGTGTAAAGAAACACAGCAAATGTAAGATTAGGTTATGAACAGTATTAGTTAAATACTTTTTTTGTGTGTTCTAGTACACTCAAGCAGAACCACCGACCAATAAAGGTTTGGCGAGTCTTGTGGTACAACTGTTACAGTTTCAAGAGGATGCCTTTGGAAGAAATGTCAGCAAACCTCCACTAAACAGGCTTCCGGTAGGTCCTTGTATTAAGAAAAAATACATATACCCGTACTGAGATATTTATCATATAAAATGTTTACTTTCTCATTTAATATTTTGATTTTAAAACTGGCTCAGAGTGATAGGTAATTTTCTCAGTTCTTGACTTGGCAAGTGTTAGTAAACATTTGAAAATTGAGGCTAATTTTGGATGAATGTAAACCTGTTGTTAACAAATAAAAACACTTTTGACACTAACCCTTTTTCTCTTAGCAAAGCTTAAAAATGAACACAAAATGTTACTGAATGTTACATTCGTCAAGTAAAAATCTAATAGGATATTCCCAGTTTCCAAACAAATGCTAAAGGATTATCTCGTATAAGATAAAGCAATGTTGTTTTTGGCCAGTATGTAATTTGAATGTAAATTAAGATTTTGTATTTTCATACCATAAATTTCTGATTTTCCAGCCCCAAACCGTTGTATTAATTAACTTGTAGGTCACATTTAAACAACATTTCTTAAGTTAGTATTGCTCTAAAAACACTCACAGATAAAGGTTTTTAATGATGACTAGTTTTGGCACTAGGGGTACACTGACCATTATTTATCTGGACTATTTTTGGCCGTAGGGATACATTTGACTGTTATTTATCTGGACTAGTTTTGGCACTGGGGGTACACTGACCATTATTTATCTGGACTATTTTTGGCTGTAGGCGTATATTTAACTGTTATTTATCTGGACTAGTTTTGGCCGTAGGCGTACATTGACTGTTATTTATCTGGACTAGTTTTGGCCGTAGGTGTACATTGACTGTTATTTATCTGGACTAGTTTTGGCCGTAGGCGTACATTTAACTGTTATTTATCTGGACTAGTTTTGGCCGTAGGCGTACATTGACTGTTATTTATCTGGACTAGTTTTGGCCGTAGGTGTACATT